TAGGATCCTCAGAGACTACACGTGGAAACCTATAAAAATAGGTAAGATATAGTCTAGTTATATAAGAAATTACATAAGAATTTTAACTTTAATTAAATTAATATAAACTATAATACCAGCTATTATATTAATATTAATTACATTCCCTTTATTTAAATTATTATATTTAATGGATAAAGTTAATAATTCTTTAATAACTATAATAGTAGAAGGTTTCTTTTTTATAGGTGGCCTTAAATTATATATATTAAATAAAATAAAAGAAGCCAGATATGGAGAAAAAAACAATACTTTAGTATCGAATAAACTAGCTCAAGTTAAAGGTATAAATATTTTAAGTTTTAATTATAGACTAAAAAATTTAAATAAATATAATAATTTATATTGTATTAAAACATTTCATACTAAGGTAAGAGCTTCTAGTAGGATAGGACCTCATAATAAAGAAGTTTTATCATATTTAGAAATATATATGATTTTACATAATTTAATGCCTATAATTATAGAATCTATAAATATAAATAAATTTATTCACTAATTATATAACGCTTAATTTAAGCTTATACAGCTATACTTAGATTATATATTTTATCTAATAATAATATTATTAGTTAAAAGAGGTATTAGTTTAATAGTAAAACTTAATGTTACAGCTATTACATTTATAGTTTAAGTCTATAATACCTCTAGTATAGTTTTATTTATAGTGTTTATACTAAATATATTCCCCTTAATTTTTAATTTCTTCATTTAATAGATAAAGAAATCCTTAGTATAGAAGTCCTATTTTTACTTTAAAACTAAGAAGAGCTAAAGGTAGAATAATTTAATTAAATATTTAATTAAAAAATATAAGTTTAACTTTAATACTTTTTTTAATAGGAATTTTAGGATGTTATGATGGTTATAATGTTGTAGTAAATACTACAAAGTTATCTCCTATTGTAGAATATTTTTCTGTCTTTTCTTTAAAAACTAAGAAGTATATTACATACTTTAACTGGATAAAAATATATAAATTAATAATTAATAAAAAACATACTAGTATTGAAGGTTTTACATTAATTAAAAAATATAAAAATAATATGAATAAACTAAGTAATAAACAACAAATATTAGAAAGTAATATACTTAAGGTTATTATAAAGAATAAATATTTTTTAGTTATATTATTTTTATTAGTATGCTATGTAATATATATATTAATTCATGATATTCTGAATGATGTATTTTCACCTGTTTTATGTATGGCCAATGAGGATATAAACGAAAACATACAAAAAGTCAAGGTTAGTAAATCATTTATTTTTTATTGTTTATTGCTATAAACTAGGTTACTTATAGGTAACTTTACAGTTACTTAATATATAGTTAATTAGTTATTTTATTATAATTACACTCTTTTAAAAAATTTAAATTATAAACTAAATAATTTTATACTAAAATGAAAACTATTAGTAAAATAGGTTCTTATAATTAAAAGGTTATTAGTGTTTTAGTTAGTTGTCTTTTAGGAGATAAATATACTTATTAAATAAAAGTTTTAAATAAAGAAATTAATTTTAGGTTTAAATAAAGTGTAAAATATAAAGATTATATTTATTAATTATATAATTTCTTTTTTACTAGGGGTTATTATATTAAAGCTAGTCTTAGAGAATATAAAACTATTTTAATAAATAGCCTTAATAAAAAAAAAACTTATATAGAATATAAATTTAATCTTTTTACTTTTAGAAGCTTAAATTAACTTTATAATTTATTTTATAAAGAGTGTATTAAATTAATATCTCCTAAATTAATAAATTATTTAACTCTTATATTTTTAGCTATTCTTATAATAGATAATAGAGGTTAAGTATTTAAATTAAAAAGCGTTAAAATAGCTACTAATAATTTTACTTTTAAAGAAGTAAAACTTCTTACTTAAATGTTTAAAGTAAAGTTTAATTTAAATTATATCGTTTAAATATTATTTAAAAAAGGAGGTAATAGGCCTAAAGATAAATATACTATTTATATAAAAGTAGTATCTTTATTTAAACTTAAAGAGTTAATAGTTCCTTATTTAATTCCTAGTATAAAATATAAATTAGGTTACTTATAATATAAATACTAAAGATAAACACTATCACTTTAATGTATATTATATTAATAATATTAAAGCTATTAATATCCTGATTTTATAGATTCTAATAAAGAATTTATAGAATTTAATTTATATATTATACTAGAATTAGACTTAAAAGATAGTAGATTAAGAATATTAGAAGTTAATAATAGAGTTATAGTACCTAAATTAACATATATTAGATTTATTATAACATTTAAAGACGTTATAAACTTATTTACATATCCTTTATTAGGTATAAAAACTAATATATACCCTAGTAGATTAAATTAAGTATTAGTATTTATTAATAAAGAAGGTGTATTTTATAGTCTTATTAAATAATAGCTAAAACTATAATAAACCTATAGTTAAAAATCATTAAATTACGGGAAACTCTTAAAGAAATCTTAACTAAGTAAGTATAGTAATATAACTTATAGTATAGGTAATAACTTATAGTATAGTAAAATTAAGATTTATTATTTAATAGATAATTCGCAGCTAAGCATTTAACTAAGTATATAGTTTATTAACTAGACGGTAGTTAATATTATTATTATTAATAATACTTAAGGTATAGTTAACCCCTACTTAAAAGAGTGTAAAAAAATATTATTATTAATATTTTTTATTAAATAGATATATATTAATTTATTAATTATATTTAGGGATCTCTACGATAGTTTGTTAAACTTATTTTAATGTAAAAT